GGGAAAATCCACTTCTAATATGGGCCAAGCCTTTTCCTGGAAGCCTATCCCAATTTAAGGATTTTGAGTGAGGTGGGAAGGGAGAAGACATGCCTCTTCCGTCTTCTGGAGTCCTTCCCCATTTCCCCTTCTTGGAATTGCTTCTGCCCCAACACACTTCCAATCCCATGTATTTTTAAGGCCCTTTCCCTGCAGCCAAGGCTTAAGGACAATGAAATCCACTCTGCTCTAACTTCTGCCTTTGGTGTTTCCATCCACTCCCCAACCCCCAAGACTTGGTCCTTTCTTCAAGCTCTCTTCTCCATTCTGCTGTGTTCCATGGGACTTCTGTTCCCTTGGCCCCTATACGCACAGGCCAGCCTGCTGGGAATGTTTTCCTCTACTGACAGATGACTGAAATCTCAGTGGCTAGTTTAAGTACTGTGTAGTTTTCATTGTATTTGATTCTGATTTTAACTTTATTATTCTTTAACAATTTCATATACATATACAATGTATTTCAGTCAATAGTACCCTGCATTATTACTCTTTGATCCCCTTCCACTGCAGGTTAATGTTTTGCTCTGTTATAGTTTGTGACTTATTGGAGGCAGTCATAACCAGCTTACTGCTATTATTTTCTAGCCCCAAAGGTCTTAACATGCTTTTAAATCCAGCACTCAGGAGGTAGAGGTGGTGGATCTCTGAGTTTGAGGCCATCCTGATCTTCAGAATGAGTTTGAGGACAGGCAACGCTACAAAGAGGGGAAAAAAAGTCGTGTGTGAGTAAGTAAGGGCACAGCCAAGTGGAGACCAAAGGACAGAATTCCAACTCCCACGTCTCTCCTTCCACCATGCAGTCCTGGGATTGAACTCAGGCTGTCAGCCTTGGCAGCAGATGCTTTTACCACTGGGCCATCTCTCTGGCTCCTAACATGCTTTTCTTCTTTCTTTTCTTCCTTCCCTCCCTTCTTTTTTAAAGAATATAACTGCCTGTAGAGACGGTTTAGTGGCTACTGGCTGCTCTTCTTGAGGACCCAGATTCAATTCTCAGAACTCACATGGCAGCTCAAAACTGTTGTCCAGATGCAGATTTGATGGCCTCTTCTGGCATACAAGGGAATCAAGATTGCATGTGGTGCTCATGCAGGCAAAATACTCATACACATAAAAGTAAATAAAACCTTAAAAGAATGCAATTACATTTACTTACTAGTTTATTATTTGCTTGTGTATCTGTGTATGGGCACACACATGGCAGCCAGAGGGTAACTTGCAGGAACTGATTCTCTCCATCGGACCCTGGTCTTGAACTCAGGTTGGGGGCTTGATGGTAGGCTCTTTTACTTGCTGAGCCATGTTGTTGGCAACCAACATGCTTCTGTCTCTCTCTCTAAATACAGAGGCATTTCAGGACTGAGTCATGATGGAAACTACTGAACATTTCCAAAAGAAAGGAGATGCCCAATGGTTATGATGGACAGCTGACGTGGAAGTGAGTGTTTCGGACACTGATTATCAAAGGGAACACACTGTGATGTTAGTGGCGTTACTGGGCATCCAGCTGAAAGAGAAAACTAAAACTGGGTTCTGCAGAGATGGTTCATCAGAGGGCTAGCTGCTCTTGCAGAAGGCCTGAACCCACTTGCCAGTACTCATGTCGGGTGGCACACAACTGCCTGACTTCCAGCTCCACAAGATCTAACACCCCGCTGTGGCCTCTGTTCACACTGCACTCACACGGCATATACACATGTAATACAAACATACAGACACGTAATACAAAAGAAACCAAGAGCAAGTGTTGCCTTATACGTTTCCTTGCTCAGAGATGCCCCAACTGACAAAGAACTGAACAAAAAGTACCTCATACGTGTTCTTTAGGTGTCTTGAAGAGGTTATGCCAATTCAGCTGAAAATGCTAGATTAGGGTTACAAAACTTCTAAAAAAGCATTGTCATAAATATCAAGAATAGAAGGACACAATTATAATCCAGCACTTGGGAGGTGAATGCAGAGAGATCAGCAACTTGACCTCCATTAGATCTTGTCTTAAAACAAAACCCCAAAACAAAACAGGGGCTGGAAAGAGCTCAGAGGTTAGGAGCACTGGCTGCTCTTGCAGAGAATCTGTGGTGAATTTCCAGGCACTCAGCTCATGTGGGATTCCAGTTCTAGGGGATCCGATACCTTTTTCTGAACTCCAGTGGAACCAGACATGTACCTGGTGGACAGACATATATGCGAGCAAAACACCCATACACATAAAATAATAACAACAATTGCTGGATGCAGTGGCACACACCTTTAATCCCAGTGCTTAGGAGGCAGAAGCAGGCAGATCTCTGAGTTCGAGGCCAGAACAGTCTACAAAGCAAGTTCCAGGACAGCCAAGGCTACACAGAGAAACCCTGTCTTCAAAAGCCAGATTAAAAAAAACACTCTCAGACAACAAATACTAAACCCCACAATTCTCACAATAACCATTAAAAGTATGCAGTACACAGGTTGTAAAAACAGCTGTAGAGAGTTTGCAAACAAGAGTAAAACTGGCAGCAGTTGACAGCTGCTGCGGTCAAAAGTTCACTGTTCTCCACTGATTAATGCCACAGAGCATTGCAGTTTGCTTTCACTTTACTAAGCACTACTGAGACGGACCATCTACGCTCTTCTCAAAAGAAAAGTCTTGTCAGGTTGCTAAAGGCAGGTTTTCTCTCTTTGTACCAATGAGAAAAAGGTTATTTCATTAAAGTTAACTGCTCAAGATCAGTCAGCTGGGGCAGTATAGACCTATATTCTTAGATAGTAGTATCTTCAGAAAATACCGGGTTCCAAGGCTGTGAAGATGGCTCAGCAGAGAAAATGTACCTGCTGCCAAGCCTCATGATCTGAATTCCATCCATGAGGTGTACATGGAGAACAGACTCCAATACGCTGTCCTCTGGCCTCCACACACATGCTATGACAGGTACATCTGTGTGTGCATGCAAACACACACAAAAATATAGCTGGGCACAATGGTGCATGTCTGTAATTCCAGCACTCTTTTGGAAGAGGCCAACCTGGTCTACAAAGCTAGTCTAGGACAGCCAAGGCTACACTGGGAGACCCTGTCTCAAAAAACAAAAAAATATGGCTCCAGATTAAGTACTGTATCTCTATTAATTTCAGCACTTGGGAAGATGAAGTAGGAGGAACACTGAGTTTGAAGCCAGCCTGGGCTGCATAGCAGATGCTGTCTCAAAAAACCCAAACAGAAAAAACAAAAATAGGCAACACACACAAGCAAAACACATGGTTATGAACGCCTATATATCCAAGCTACTTGGGAAGTTGAGAGAGGAGGATCACAAGTTCAGGGGTGATGGGCTACATAGTCCAAGGTCAGCCTGGGCCAAGTTGGACCTGAGTTTCAATCTCCAGCAACCACTTAAAGGCCAGATACTCGGTCTAAGCCTCTGTAATCCCAGCACACCTGTAGGTGGAGACAGACTTCTCAGCACCTGAGCCAGCCTGGTACATGAAGTGTAAAACTAAAAAGATCTACTTGTGGCCTGAAGAGATGGCTCAGCCACTAACTGCATTTTGCTCTTTTAGGACCTGGCTTTGGTTATCTGCACCCATACCTGGCAGCTCAACAACTGCCTGGACCTGGAATTCCAGGGTAATCCAACATCCCCCAGCTTGTGAGGACACCTAATTTCACATATAAGCAAATATATACATATTAATTTTTTGAGAGAAGGGCTCTCTACGTAGCCCTGGCTGTCCTGGAGCTCTCTATGTGAACCAGGCTGGCCTTGAAATCACAGAGCTTTCCTGTCTCTGTCTCCCGAGTGCTGGGAGAAAAGGTGCTCCGCACCACGCCTAGCTCACAAATAAATCTTTATAAAACAACAAACAACAACAAAAGAGATCTGTTAAGGTGACACATATCTGCAGACTTAGCTTGAACCCAGAAGTTAGCTCCAGGCTGTTGGTGAAATCTGTTTCCAAGAAAATAATTTTTTTTTCTAAACAAAGAGATAGTACTTTTACTGTTCCTCACTGGATGACAGAGACATGCTCCCCGGAACATGTCAACTCCCTTGGATCTGCTCAGCTCTCAGCCTATGTACCTTGTGTTGCTGTTCTTCCTCCAAGTCTGAAAAGACCTTTCCATTTTCCCTTTCTTCCAGATAACTTGAATAAATACAAGGCTTGCAAACTAGCGCAAAACTGAATTTTGTGTATTTTACTTTTTCCAGATCTTAATTTTCACGTTCGTTTACAGACAATACTCACTTTGTAGCTAAGGATGATCTCCAAGTTCTGATCTTCATGACTCTAGCTCCTGAGTGCTAAGCTAACAGGTATGTGCTATCATGACCCCAGTGCTGGGGACTCAACCCAGGCCTCTGTATGTAGGCAAATACCCTCGCCTCTTTATTGGCAGTACTGACACTGAACTTGGGAGCTTTCTGAATGTTGGGCAAGTGCTCTAGCACTGAGTTCTTGAGCGCAGTCCCTGATTTCTTTAGTGGGTGTACATATGCACATGTGTGCGTGACTGTGGAGGCCAGAAGTCAACATCAGCATGTATCTTCAATCACTCAGCTCCTTTTTGGAGGTTCCTCCTCTTTGAAGCTGGAGCTCACTGAACTGGTTAGACCGACTGGCCAAGTAGCCCCAGAGACCCTTCCATCTTTGCTTCCCAGTGCTGGAATACAGTCACGTGGTATCTTCCCAGCATTTTACATGATGTTTCAACTTTACAACTAAACTGTTCCCCAATGAATTCCTCCCACCCCTTAAAGTTTGAGACAAAGTCTTACTCTGTAATTTGAGGCAAATCTCCTGCCTCAATTTTCCAAGCACTGGGATTACATATGTGAGCCACCATGCCTAGCTTCAGATCTTAAATGATAACACAAAGGCTCTGTGTCCCGAAGGAACTTCAGAAATGACATCAAAGAATGAGCTGTTTAACTAGTTGACCTGCAAAGTTGCAGCTGCTGACAGTTTGAAAATAATATATTCTAAAAATTACCACTTTTTTGTCATAATATTTATTTTGAAATTTCAAATAATACTAAAAAGGGTATGAACTTTAATATATATATATATTAAAAAGTATAAGTAAAAATTAGAGAAACATTGTCCTAGGCTCTTGTAGAACATAAAATGTGATCTTTCATCACTATGCTGCTGTGACTCAGTATAAAAATGAAGATGACACAGCTTTTACATAGCTTTAATACCTTGATTATAAACTGCTTTCAAAAGTAATTTATTTGGATTTTCCATATCCTTTAATGAACTGTAAATATATTAACAGAAAAGACTTTCCCCCCAAAGACTATACAATTTCTGAAATAAGTCAGGAAAAGCAAAAAGAAGACACAAAAGTACATTGTTTCAATGCAAATAGAACACACATATCACACCCACACTTGCATTTCCCAGGTTTTCCCAAAGAAAATGGGCCACCATTTTTCTCAGTGAAGACCCATAACTGTACTCTGGCTAATCAGAGACTTAGAAACTGGTTTCTTCAAAAAGAGTGTTTTTAATAGACTAAACACTGGTTATCACTGAGTTTTTGTTTAAGGTACAACAGCAGCATGGTTCAAATGTTACTTGCAGTTCTTGGATAAAATAAAAAAATATTAAGTAATGAAATACAGAAAAAGTTAAGAGACTTCCTTTCATTATTTTGAGTAGCATCTGTTCTTCTGAAAAAATATTCTAACCTTCTAAAATCCTGGTGTAATAACCATTTCCACGAGAAAAAAGACATTCAATGCTCTAATAGACTTTTGTGTGAGTGTGTATATTTATATATGTATACGTATGTATAGGTGTGAAAAAAAGCGAAGTACTTAGTATTCTTAATTTCCTTCAAAGCAACATCTGAAATTTGAAACAAACATTTGACTTACAAAATGTGTTTGTTTGTTTGATCCCTATTCTGTAAAATGAAAAAAAGAAAAAAAAGACAGAAAAAAAAAAAGAGAAAGAAACTAGGAAATAGTTACTATGTGGAAATAAGGCTTCAATATCTAAATGATGTTAAAAGCAGGTGTGAGGAAAACACGAAAGCAGGCCGAGTGTTTGTGAGTGTCTCTCAGCCAGCCACTGCCACAACTATCCCTCTATCCTTTGTCTTAAAATCAGTACCAGAAAGTCCCTCTGGCACAGGACTAAATTCCTACTTAAAAAACAAAACAAAACAAAAACAAAAACAAAACAAACAAACAAAAAACCCAAAAGGTAATTACACTTCAGTCAATTATGTTCTGAGCTTAGCTTTCTTTAGGTCTGCCACAGAACTCAGCACAGCTCTCTATGAAACTCCAGATCTGATGATGTAATATACATGTATATAGCTGGCTTTTGATTTGCCAATTAAAAAAAAAAAAAAAAGAAAATTAAACTTCACATAACTAATGAGTAATACAATGGACTCTGTTAGAATCGAAGTGCTAGTCTATGGGAATTTTTAATGATATTCATTTATTCCCAACTTTCCTTTTCCTCATAAATTACTTCTTTTTAAACTGCACACATACCTAGATTTAGGCAGGAAATTATCTTAAATCCTTCTCTGGCACCTAATACCTAACCCAAGACTGACTTGAATTTGTAATAGTATCTAATTCACATCGGATGAGAAGATTAAGTAACGGACAGAAAATGACCAAATCTATGGGCTAAAACATTTTTTTTTTCACATCTTTTGTAATCCACCTTGTTTTCACAGGTTGACTAACAAATACAAGTAACCAGAGGGTACGTTTTTCCTTCATCAAATAATTCAAAATAGTAACTGTAGGCCTGTAACTTATAAGAAATTGTAATTTGTTATATTCTGACATTGGCACTTAATAAAATGTTAACTAAAGTTTCTCTAAAATTTTCAATACATTACAATAAAGGAGATACACAATTTAAGAGTGTTTAAATCTGTTACTGTGAAATTCCAATAATTCCCATTTTATATGCATAATTAGATCTTTAAAATTGTGGCCATTCCCCAAACATTCCAACCCATATTATGATGAACTCAGAAGAGAATCTGTCTCTTTCATAAGAAACTTTTCCCTAAGCTAAAAATTTTCAGTATTTTATACCCAATTAATTACGCTCAGTACAAGTTTTGGTGACTCACTCTACTGACAGCTATATGAAGCGGAAAGCTGAAAAGAATGGAATTGACCTCAACAAAAGTAACCATACATTCTTGCACTCTACTTTCACTCCTAGAAAAGATGCAGGACTCACGGTTAGGTACAACTCCAACTAGATTAAGGCTTCTCTATCATGATCTCCAAAGTCTCTATAGTGTTCTCATACTGATTCTTCTGGTAAACATAAGTGGTTATTAATGGCCTGGTTTTGGCTTTTCACGGGGAACCACTCTATCATCTGTCAATGTTAAAGGCGATCCCACAGAGCTCAAAGAGAAGAGGCAGTATTGTAAAGACCAATTTTAAAGTTTGCAATACCAAGACAACAATGATCAACACTTTGAAGCAAGATGAATAAATTAAAATTCTTGGTTAGACATTAAAGCATTCTTGCCAAGAATAAGTGTACACTGTATGGAGGGTATTCGACTCCTACATAGAGTCCCAATAGGCCCATTCCATTTGCTTATAGGAGACACTCCAAGCTTAAAGTAAGCTATGTTCCTTGGCAATGAACTTTACTCTGTTATAGGCAATGTCTTTTATTGTTCCATCTGGCACTTGCTAACACCATTCTTGAAGAACCTAGAAATGAAGGTCAGTCACTCTGTTTATCAGGAAAAGAACCAAATAAAAAAACAGAATTTTGGGAAAATGACCAAGAAATTCTGGTTCATCACTATTTCCATATCTAATGGTTCCTTCAAGATAAAACATAACTCTTCCTTCCATGATAGCTTTCCAACTAAGGAGATTAAAGAAAAAAAAGTTTCCCACCCTTCCCCCCAAATTGTCATTTATACTGGTAAAAGAGCCAGTCTTATTAGCAGCTAAATATTGCAATGCCTTTCATTCTGCGTACAGTCAGGTCCAACCAGAGTGGCACACTCATGGTCTAAGTGATGAATGAGGACAATGCCGGCTCAAGAGTTACGACTCAGTATATGGAGGGACAAGAAACATGTCAGCACTAGCCACACATCCAACTGTCAAAGTCTGATTTCCAGAGGTTAAAATTCATCACTCTCCGCTGCATGAAGTTGTGTGTCGTCTGCATCTGTCATGCTGCTCTCTTGGGATTCATCTGTTCCCACTATACAAATGGACAAAAATGTAAGGTGTGGGACAAATACAACTTGTCGGTTCATGAAAATAAGGAAAATTTCACTACATTCAGAGATGAGACACCCCCCACAAACCAACCAACCAACAAAAACAAAACAAAAACAACCAACAAACTCCTAATGTTATCTAAAAAAGCATTTCAAGTTCTTTCTCTTTTTTTTTCTTCCATTTTTCAAGACAGAGTTTTTCCACGTAGCCCTGGAACTCGCAATATAGACCAGGCCGGCCTTAAACTCAGGAGATCCACCTGCCTCTGCCCCCTAGTGCTAGGACTAGATCTGTATCTTGTATAACATGCCTGGAAGTTACCTTGCTGTATTCAAGCTTTGATGATAATGGTAATAGTTATTTGGAGACAGGGTCTCATATAGCCCAGGCTGAGCCTGACCTTACTTGTAGCCAAGGGTGACACTCCACTTATGATGCTCCTCCTGCATTCACTTCCTAGGCTAGGATTACAGGCTTGAGCAGCACTACATCTGTGTTATGAAGTGCCGGGATCAGCCCATGGCCTTGTCCATACTACAGACAAGAACTCTACTAACTATGCGACATTCCTAGCCTCCTCCCTTTTTCCTCTAGTAATTATGTATTCCTACCCTAGGAGTTAGAAATAAAAAATAGCTACAGCAGCAACATCCAAAAAAGCTAACATTTCTGCTAACTCCTAATACTGACTTACCATTCTGGACAGTTCCTGATGGTATACTGAAATGTGGAATGTAACTTTCAGTTTAAAAGATCAGTATTGGTCAGTCGCCATTTTTTTAATAAATGGTCTGACCCTTGCAGGCAGGTTTCTGGTTCTGAGAAATAAACACTCTTGCCAATTGCAAAAAACAAAACAGCAACAACAACAAAAAAACCCAACAATACTGAGCGGTTGGAGAGATAGCTCAGCAGTTAAGAACACTGGCTGTTCTTCTAGAGGACCTGGGTTCAATTCCCAGCAAACACATGGTAGCTCACAACTGTCTCTAACTCTAGTTCCAATGGCTCTAATATGCTCATACCAATGCACATAAAATAAAATAAATGAAAAAAAAAAATACTGACTCTAAATTAACCCCCCGCCCCCCCCCAAAAAGTACTGAGATCATAAATTTTACTTAAACAGTTCATTTCTAGAACAAAGGCATCTAATCAGAATTTACCCCAGAAAATTTCCAATTCTCTAAGTATTACTACATATAAACATTAATAAATGTGTACTAACCACACATCTCCATTTTCTTATTTGCCTAGGAGTAAAGAGAATTTAAACAACTGCTACTATAGAGGTGAGAGTCAAATAACCACACAAATAAGTCACAAAGCACACTAGATCTGGAACTAATTACTTGATAGCATATGCACTTTCCTATTATGCCATCTCAATCAGTTTCCTCCAAATTTGATTTTCTATAAAAAAGTGAAAAAGCAGCCCACAGGTTCTGCATAGGATAGCATCTGTAGGGATGCTACAGATCTTATGCATGATACTCACTGATCTGTTCCTCTTGGGTTATTGGTTCCTCATCATCTGGAAGGTAGCGTTTGTCAATCGCCTCTTTAATCTGATTATTGGCTCCTTTAGGATCTAAATCCATAGCCCAAGAGAAATTCATCAAGGCGAGATGAGTTTGACCCAACTTCTTGTAAACCTACAAACAGACAGCAGCATTTATTCTTCAACTGTAAATTTTAAAAACATGAGTTAGTCTTCTGATCTTTAAACTCCAAGTCTATTCAGGTGGGAGAACATTTTTATCCCACACATGACTTCAGATTAGCATTTAACTGCTTTTCTTTATATAATCAGGTGTTATGTTCAGAAATCCTTTTCTCTATTTTTTCAAGTAGGGAGTTTCCAATAAACCTCACTGATTGGAACATTGACAATGGGAACACTGACTACAAAAGCTGCTTGAATAACTTTCATTTATACAACCTCATGAATGCCAGGTACATGCTCTACTAAAGAAATGCACAGTATCTAAATATGTAGTTCAGGCTGACCATGAACTGAGATCCTCCTGCTTGTGTCAGTCCTGAAATTATAGGCAGAAGACACAATACCTGGATCCATGTGAAGGACAGCTGGAACCACAGCTGGGCATTTGAGACTGCCCAGGGCATGACAGGCAAACATTACTGCTCTGAGCTCCTTTTTTGGGCCCTGCATATGCAGTCCAGGCCAGCCTTGAGCTAGGGCAACTCTTCTGCATCAGCTTTCCAAGTGCTGGATCACAAGCACACACCACCATGCCCAGCCAGAACACCATCTTTTTAACTGCTTGTGCTAAATCCATTATTTCCAGGACCCTTAGGTCAGGAATCTAGTTCAACTTGCTAAGTAGATGTTGTATAACACATATTGTATTTATTCTTCAAACTGTTAATATTTGTTGGGGTTAGAGAGGTGGTTATAGTGAGAATCTTGGTTTCTTTAAAAAAAAAAAAAAACACAAATGCTTTTTTGTTTTAATCCCAAGTGTGGGGATATGGGGCTGCTTCCCAGCAGCTATGATTTGCCTCGTTCTCTGGTGGGGGCATGATTTTGCCAGTTGCAGACAGTTACTGTGACTGTGTGGCATTTGGAATTCTAGCAACTTTTCAGAGGGTAGATACTTGCCAGGGCCCTTAGGAGGGTTGAGTTGTTGGTTGGTTGCTCTGGTTGTGGTTTGTGAAGTAGTCATGCACAAAGAATAAACATAAAGAAAACAGACATCCTGACGGCACAGAGGAGCTCAATGCCCCTAATCAGCAGAAGAAGTCTAATGGTAACACCACCTTCTTTCTGAGCCCTGACTTTATTCAGAGATCTCCTTCCTTTCCCCTCTGGTTTTTTGTCCCTAGTATCTAGTGTGAGGGGGTGGAGAAGAATAGAAGAAAGAAGAACCCACAAAGTAGCTAATGAAGGGTACAGATGGTTCACCAGTTAAGACTGCTTGCGGCTCTTTCAGAAAACCCAAGCTCAGTTCTTGGAACGTATAGATCTAACACCCTCTTCTGGCCTCCACAGGAAAGAACACACTTGGCTTGGCATGTATTCATAAATACGAATAAATCTGTCCCCAACCCTGTCCCCTGTAATGGTTTCTCTGTGCAGTCCTGGAATTTGCTCTGTAGACTAATTTGGCCTCCAAGTCAGAGACCCATTTGTCTCTGTCTCCCCAGTACCAGGATTAAAGGCGAGCTAATACCATTGCCTGGCAACAAAAATCAATCTTTAAAAAAGGAAAGGAAAAAAAAAATTAGTTATTTGTTACAAAGTTGCAACATAAGACCAAGGCCCCAATTTTTACCTTTCCTATTAAGAAGTAAACAAGGGATTCTTTGGGGACAATCTGTTTCAATTCTTCAAGTTCTTGTAAAGCAGACTGAAAAAAAACAAAGAAAAAACTTAGAGGAGCAAAATCTCACAGAATTCTGACTAAGCAAATGCAGTCAGTTTTCCAAATCATCTTAAGAGTTTACAAGCACACCATCAATGTACTTTGTATTGCATTAATTTCTTGTGGTAAAAATGTTATAGTAAGACTAACAAATGACAGACACTCACTGAAAACATACATGTATGTATACCATAGTTTACAGAAGATGCAGGTGGGGATAACAACCTCTTTTGTCACTATTTTTCTTAAAAAAGAAATAATCACATTATGTCCGGAAATACGTGAAAGTGCTTTGAACATAAGGCTTAGAAAGTAGGCCCCAGAACTCCACATGTACATATACCCCTCTCTCATATAAAGAAAGAATAAGTAAATGTAAAAAATTAAAAAAATAAAAAAAGTATTCACCAAGCCATCTTTACATGAACATTCAGCCCTGGTTGGGGATGTAACTCAGTGGGAAAGAACCTATCTACCTTGTGGAAACCCTAGGATCAATCCCCAGCACTGCAGAGATGGGGGTTGTGGTGAGGAAGACGTCGACATTCTTTATTGTAAAACAGTAGAAGCAATCAGGGCATCTAAGTAAAAGCATGGCCTATTTTCTTTTTCTACTCTTTTAAGACAAGGACTCTCAGTGTAACAGAGCCCTATCTATCCTGGAACTCACTCTGTAGACTGTAGACTAGGCTAGCCTTGAACTCAGAGATCACTACTGAGTGCTGGAATTAAAGGTGTGTGCCGCCGCCGCCGCTGCTGCCACCGCCACCCGACTTGTAAGGCCCACATTCTATGGAACAATAAATCAATATTGTTCCATGGGGGCGAGGGGGAGGAGGCTAGCACTGTGGTGTAGTCCTACAATTTAAGCACTGAGAAGGCTACAACACCAGGATCTTGAGTTTGAGGCCAGCCTGAGCTGTCAACAACACCTTGTTTAAAAATAAAAGCTGGGGGGTGGGGGGTGGGGTCTGGAGAGATGGCTCAGCAGTTAAGAGTACTGACTGTTCTTCCAGAGAATCTGGGTTCAGTTCCCAGCACCCACATAGCAGCTCACAAGTGTCTGTAACTCTAAGACCTGATACCCCTCACAGAGAAACAAATACAGGCAAAACACCAATGCATATAAAAATATAACTAAGTAATTACTAAAAAAATTAAAATAATCAAAGGTTGGGAGTGCACAACTCCAGAGAACTCCGAGAGTACCTATACTCAAAATCTCCCCGAGCGATATCCCACCTCCCAGAATAACTGTGACAACTGCAGTCTTACCCATCACTCTCACTCACTTAAAGTCCTGGGAGGATGCTGCAGGTCTTTCTTTTAAAACAATCCCCTGGTGCCCAAAAGGCCTTTCTAGATGTACAATCCTTATATAATCTGAATCTCCACATACCAATCCTTCTTACTTTTTTTGTTTTTTTGAAGCAGACTCTCACCCTGTAGCTTAAAATGTAACTGGACCAGTTAGAGTGGAGTTGGTGGCAATTCTCCTGCTCAGCCTTCCAAGTGCTAGAATTACGCCTTACTTCCTAGGAGTAGTTTGTGAAATAAAATGAAACTAAGAGCTGCCCTCTCCACACTAGCTTTTAAAAACATAGGAAACATTAAAAAAAAAAAAAAAAAATCAAAGCATCAAAAACATGTAGCTTATGTTTTATTTTTTTTGAGGAAAGGTCTTTCTATGTAGCCCTGGCTATCCTGGAACTCACTATACAGGCCAGGTTGGCCTTGTAGCTTTTATTTATTTATTTTTTTAAAGAGACACAATATAACGTGGAAGAAACTGATACGAATCTCACCTTGTATTTTTCATTTGCAAACAAAACCGAGGCTCTGTGAAATTTGCATAGAGGGTTCTTAGGATCAATAACAATGGCTTTGTTAAGGGTATCCAAAGCCTTCTCAGATTTTTTGAGCGCATGCTGAACCTATAAGAAATAAAGATTCGTCTTGATATTAATGAAGAAAGAAGCAAATAACATAACTTAAAACCATTATGAAAATAAAACTAGAGGGATGCAGCTGTGCTGTCTGGCCGCAATGCCTGCTGGGTTCAAGTGGACTAAGTGACTCACACTAAATGTGCTGTTTTCAAGGGGAATGACACCCAAAAACTCATGTTTCAATACTTGGTCTCTAGCTGGTGGGGCTGTTTGGAGGATTAGGAGGCATGGTCTTGCTGGAAGTATGTGACTGAGGGCAGGTGTTGAGGTTTCAAAAGATGACACCATTCCCAGTATTTTCTTGTTCTTTTGCTTCACAATCATGAACTTTTAACTCCTTGACACTGGAAACCAAATTAAACACCCTCTTTTCAAATTATTTATGTGAATGGGTGTTCTGCCTGCAAGTATGTCTGTGTAAGTGTGTTGGATTTCCTGGAACTGGAGTTGCAGACAGTTGTGAGCTGCTACATGGGTGCTGGGAATTGAACCTGGGTCCTATGGAAGAGCCGCCAGTGTTCTTAACTGCTGAGCATCTCTTTGGCTTCCAAATTAAAACACTTTCTAAGCTGCTTTAGTCATGGTGTTTTATAACAGCAATAGAAAAGTAACTAAGACACTAAGCAATTAACAAATTATCTTTAATTCTCGAAGTCTGGTAATCACTTCATTTCAAAGATAGCACAATGAGGCCTACCAAAACTGATCTGATGGTGAAGAGCTCGAGCAATTCCCAGAACCCATATATCCATGTAAGATGGAAGAACCAATTCTACTGTTCCCTAAGCCTCCATAATAACAGTAACAACAATAAAAATAGCAGCAACAATAACAATAATAATCACTGTTTTAAAAAACCATCCTGAATATTATAACAATTTAAAAAAGCACCCTGAACTCCAGAGATAAAACCTAGATCTTCAGACTCTTAATGTGCCAATGTGAGCCTATGATGATAACACGATTAAATATTTTTAAAAAGATTTATTTTAAATTACACATACATGCACGTGTGCATGTATGTGCACACATGCACATGAATGTAGGTGCCCGTGGAGGCCAGGGGCCTCAGATCCTCTGTAGCTGGTTGTGGGCTGCCCGAAGGAGATGTTAGGTATCAAACTGGGGTCCTCTGCTTAACCACTGAGCCACTTCTCCAGCCCCATGATTTGATCTTTACGGCAGATAATTACCACGAAGTCTAAAAGTAAGTAAAACTTGGTTTTACCCTTCACAAGAAAAGCATTTATGCAGACAACACATTTCCAAAGGCTTATTATGACCCTCTAAATATTAACCTGTGTTCAAGAACTTGTTCATGAATGCTGTGTCATTCAATTATACCTTACAGTCTGAGCTACATAAAACAGTTTCAAAAGACACAAAAAACATTCACTGGAGATGTGGTCAATGATTATGAGCACCCAGTGCTCTTGCCCAGGTACAGTTTGTTTGGTTCCCAGTACCCACGTCAGGCAGCCCACAACTGCCTCTAACTCCAGCTTTAGGAGAACTGATGCTTTTGTCCTCGTTCGGCATCTGCAGACAAGTAGATGCATCCATACACATAGTGAAAAATAAAACAAACCTTAAACAACGAAACAAAACACCATTTGAGTCAGATACACAGAAAACAAACAAACAGAAAGAGTATATAAACACAAAGGGATCCCCAACTCCTCCTGTCTGGAGACAGGCCTCACTGTAGCCAAGGCTGGCCTTAAAGTTGTTTCTTAGCGGATAACCTTTAACTTGAAATCCACCTGCTTCTACCTCCAAGAAGGAATGTTAAGACTGTAAGTGTGAATACGCTCAGTTTTATGCCAGAGGATAAATCTATGGCAACTGAGCTACATCTTCAGGCCCACAAGGTGTATTTCTTCATGACAAGTCAAAAAGGTACTATTTTGGCTAGAAAAAAGACTGAGACACTGCTTCATTAATAAAACAGCCCAATTTTCATAATAACCATTAAGTCACCTAAACACACACTCTCTCTCTCTTTTTAATTTTTTCACTGTGTAGCCCTGGCTGTCCTGGACTTGCTTTGTTGGCCAGGCTGGCCTTGAACTCGCAGAGCTCCGCCTGCCCCTGCCTCAAGCACCACGCCTGGCTTCACCTAAAGCAATGTTTACAAAGTCACTTACCACTCCGATGTGGCACAGTAACACTGAGCTCTGAGGGTTGATGTCAAGCGCTTTCTGAAAATGCATTTCTGCGAGGCTGAATTTCTCTTGCTTGTAATAAATCATTCCTAAACCATACCTGAAATTGTAAAAACGTATGATTTTAAGGACACAAGTTTTGGCTGCTAGCTTAGTTCCTCTACTAACAGGACAGTTATGGTACCTGGCATTTCAATACACAATCAAAAAAAAAAAAAAAAAAAAAAAGGTCTAATGGGGAGACAAAAAGTATTAGTCATAGTAAAAATCACAAAAGAAGACACATTTTTGTTTGTGAAAACAATAAACTAACCAAACAAGTGTAACTACGATAATGGAGAAAAAAGAAGCCACATCGTTAAGCTCACCACTCTAATCTAGACTTAACAGTTAACTCTTGCAGAGTGATTATGTATGTGACAAATACTTTGCTAAATTATTACCCTTGTTTTTCTTTTGGTTTTTTTGAGACAGGGTTTCCTCTGCAGTGTTTCCTGGGGTTAAAGGTGTGCACCATCACTGTCCCGTCTAAATTATTCTATGTTGTGCCTAAACTGGCCTTGAATTCCTTGCTCAAGCAATATTCCTGTCCCTTCCCAAGTAGCTGGGAAATAATTGTGCATGAGCCACTATGTTTGGCTCTGGTAAATTCAATCTCCTTTCTCTATACCATCTTTTATTGTATGTACGTTTGTTTGTTTGTTTTCCCCAAGACAGGGTTTTTCTCTGTATGTAGCTCTGGCTGTCCTGGAACTCACTCTACAGATCAGGCTGGCCTCAAACTCACAGAGATGTGCCTGCCTCCCCCCCCAAGTGCTGGGATTAAAGGCGTGCACTACCAACTGCCTGGCTGTACAAAATTGTTTATATAGCAATACAATTTACATATTAATCAGTACTATAATAGGATGACTTAAACAGAAGACCTCCCCCCCCCCTTTTTTTTTTGTTGGACAGGGTTTCTGTGTGTAGTCCTGTCTGTCCCGGAACTCTGTAGATCAGTCTGGCCTCACACTCAGAGATCCACCTGGCCTGGCCCTGCCTTTCCAGTGTTGGGAGATGTGTACCACTATTATCTGGCTTTTTTTCTTCTCAGAAAAAGGTAAGTTTTTCTACATGGGTGAATGCAACAAATCTAGTCACTGACTACTTATGTTTAGTTTTTATTGGACTTAATGGTTAACGGTTAAAAAAAAAAAAAGAACAAGTTTTCACAATCATTGTCTTGAAGGAATAACACATGTTGGATTCATTTGGAATGTAAAAATGGTTCTTGGGTATATCAGTACAAAGAAAGTTGAATCCACCCCACCCAACAAAATAAAAACAAAAAACCCTTATAATACAGTTGAAAACAGAAATTGAGTCTTATATCTGCTTCCTTAACTCATGTATCCTTTTGCCTAAACTTTGTCCTATCTCGTCACCTAATATTACCTTTTTTTTTTTTTTTTTGGTCTCTTTTCTAAGTTTTAGACTTTACTCACCCTTACACATGTTCACATATATATTAACACATCCTATGTGTTAATACATATGTATTAACACATCCTATGTGTTAATATACATAGGATCTTTCTTACGATTTCTTTAGGCTGCATCATTGGTAAATGCTGGTTTGTCTTTTTTTAAAATTAATTTATTTTTGAGACATGACACCACCCTAGGTGGCCTCCAATTCACTGTGTTGACAAGGATAACCCTGAACTTCTGATACCCATTTCTACTTCAGCAGTAATGGGAATATAGCATGAGCCGCTGAACCTACTGTGGTTCTGAGGACAGAACCCAAGGCTTTGTGCATGTAGCACAAGCATCAGCTCCTGCCCTGTTTGAATTCCTGTCCTGATTTCCTTCAGTGATGAGCAGTGATAGGATGTGTAAGACAAATAAACCCCTTTGATCCTACTTGCTTCTGTGGTCATGGTACTTTGTTGTAGCAAAAGTCACCCTAACTAAGACAGCAAGCATGCATGGGATACAACACGTACAAGCATGACATGCCTACATATAAAAGAGAAATCTTTAAAAATAAAAAAGTCACTCAGGGCTGGCAGGGTGGAGTTCATTCCTGCGAGAAAAATCAACTCTTGGATGTTATGCTCTAATTTCCACGTTTGCTGTGGCATATACAGCCCAAGCATACATACACACATGCAAACAAATTAAATAAATACAACAATTTTTAGTAAAACTTTGTCTTTTTACTTACCATGCATTATAATGTCTGGGATTTACTCTTATAGCATTTCGAAAACATGCTAATGCTTTGTCTAGTTCTTCAGTTAACACAAACTCATGTCCTAATAGGGTATAGGCGTAAGCATAATTGGGATCAACCTGAATAGCTCTTTGGAAGAATTTAATTGCAATATCATGTTCCCGTTGCAGACTGAAACAATTCCCCGCAGCACACCAGGCCTGGCAAAATGGAAACAAAAACCATGCAGTTATAAGTTGTTATGTTCTATAAAATAAATTGACAAAAAGCAGAAACTTACATTTTTAAAGTTTAATTTTGACCTAAGGAACTGTGTATGGATAGTTATGGATAGTGCCTAGCATACTTCCCGTGTTCCAGCCCAGCACTATACCCAAGAAGTTAAATAAGTAAAAGAAAAGTAACTACGCAAGGTGAAGTGCTTGTAATCCTAGCACTCAGGAAGGCAAGAGGCAGGCAGATCTTTTTGAGTTTGAGGCCAGCCTGGTCTACAAAATGAGTCCAGGACAACCAGGGTTACACAGAGAAACCCTGTCTTGAAAAACCAAACAACAAACCAACAAAAAGTAGCTATGTAAGCAAACTGCTGCTACCATACCTCTGGTGAATTCTTATCCATGTCTGTTAAGTCTTTTGAAAGAACTGATAGAGCAACATCTTTCTGAAGATGCCAAAGTGTTGTCGAGTAGATCTCCATGCCTTCAACTCTGTAATTCTCAATCCTTCTAACTTCTGAGAATATTCTTTCAGCCTGAAAATAAAGAACTATTAAGGACAAACCAGTTGCTACAGTTTGTACATACAGGGAGTGCTGGTCACTGTCTTCACAGGACTTAGAACCAGGCAGGGACTATGCTTCGTGTGAATCAGCAACAAGGACAAATGCACAAATCAGCTATGGGATGTCAACTACAGAAGTATGCAGACTCATAGTCAGCCTAGTTTTGGTAGTTTAACTATGGATCAAGACATGAAGCCTGAAAAGAAAAGGCTTTTCTACAAAAAAGAAAAGGATGGGGTTGAAGCAGTGGTTCAGGGATTCTGAACACTGGTGGCTCTGCAGAGGCCCTGGCCTTAGTTCCCAGCACTGACATGGTGGCTCACGTAAGGAACTACAGCTCCAGGTGATCCAACACCTTCTGGCATCAGGCACATGTGTGGTACACATATATACATGGAAGCACTCACATAAAACAAAACTTTAAAGAGAGACAGAATATGAATCTACTGAAAGGCTGAGTTGAAAGGTAAGAAAAGGTAAAATGGCTGCCAACTCTACGGCACGCTAACTGCTGAACACTGACCAGCACTGTGTCCTCCGGAATTACAGTACCTACTAACCAACTGCCCTTCCCTAAGGTCTTTCCATAACTATCAGGTCACTTTTTTCTTCTCTCAAAATAGTCTCAATTTCTAGAACCATGCTTCTCTATAAAAACTTCACATTTATAAAATCAATGCACCATTTAGTTTTATCACCTTACTAAGTTTAAAACGTTCAAAGTTTAGTTCAGAATAAGAATATCTGGGTTACATTTAATGAAATGAAGATGACAGAAAATAAGGAAAGAACTTCTGTTTAAAGATTTACTTTTATGTATGTGGGTACTTAAAGAGGCCAGAGGAGGGCATCAAATCCCCTGGAGACAGTTACAGCAGGCTGGCTGTGAGCAAATCTGGGTGTGGGAACTGACCTCTGAAAGTATAGCAAGTGCTCTTAGCTCTAGTCCTAGGAAAGGACATTTATAAAACTGTGAACTTTTGCCCAGAACATGGTGATTTGATATCTACAATCAGTTTGGTGTTTTATTAAGTCCCCTCAAATATCTTTAGAAGTTGGTAAGTTTTTCCAAAAGACACAGGTTAAATAACATAACAAAGCAATCAGCCACACAAACATAACTTTTGGTTTCATATTTTTAAGCAGCTTTTGTCATCTTTCAAAAGCAATTATTAGCTAGGAATGAACATGAAAGCAATAGGACTATGATAAGTTGAGGCCAGCCTGGGCCACATAGTGAGTTCAAGGTGAGCCTGGACTACAGAGCAAGACCTTGTCTCAAAAGTAAAATATAAAGCCAGATGGTTAGGACAGGCGGATCACGAGTTCAAGGCCAGCCTGGTCTACAAAGTACGGAAAAGCCAAGGCTACACAGAGAAACCCTGTCTTCATACATCAAAACCCCAAAAAAACAAAACTTCACAAGCTATTATGATGTATGTTAAAAAATAACCTTAAAAAAAAAAACTAATAAAATTAACGAAGGGCTGCTGATGTAGTTCTCAGTTGGTAGAGTTTACTAGCATGTATGAATGAAGGCCTGGATTCAACCCCCATGTGGGTTCACAGTAGTTACATGCCTGTAACCCTACAATCCAAGGAGGAAGGAACAGGAGGATCACGAGTTCTAGTCATCATGGTTTATACATAGTTCGAGGCTAGCCCAGTCTACATGAGACCCTGTCTCAAAAGCAAAACCAGCTAGGTGTGGTGGTGTATGTCTTTAATCTTAGCATTAGGGAGGTGAGCCTGGTATATATAGCAGGTTCCAGACCAGCCAGGGCTACAAAGTGAAAGATCTTGCCAAAAAAGAAAAGAACCTGTTACAAGAACATTATGTTGAAAGGGTTAGACTAATTTTGTAACCTATATGTCTTCTAAAGCCTATAGTTTTGAGTTTTAGGTTAAGCTAAAGCCTCTTAGTACCTTTCCAGAGAACGGAGGAAATGTGACCCTATCTGTGAGGACAGATATAAAAAAAGCAAGCAAGCAATGACCTTCACTCAGCAAAAAGAAGGACCAGACCCTTGTCTTTGAGATAGTGTTTCTTAGCAACGAACCCAGACGGCCTCAATCCTTCTTCTGAGTAGCTCCTGATCTCCAGCCAAAAGCCAGCCCTAATCTTCAAGGATGAGCTAAACACCCCCACCTTCAATTGCAGCTGCATCTACACTTGGCAGGACTGGCCAAGCTTGAGCACCTAAGATTAACCAATTATCTTACTTTATAGCTTCCTCATCCAATCCTAAATTGCCAAAACTGCAACTTCAAATTTCCCGCAATTTTTCTTTTAAAAACCTAAGGTCTTTGTCTCCCGGGGCCACTGTTTGCTGACCGGCAGGGGTGACCCCATTTTGCAATGGTTAATAAACCTCTTGCTTTTGCAACGAGCCGCGTGGTCTGTGGGGGGTTCTGGGAAGGGCGAGATCTTAAACTCCTGAGCTGTGAGACCCCAGGTCTTACAGTGTCTTCAATTAAACATGATCTTCATAGCATTAAGTTTATATAATACACTAAATGCCAAACATTCAGCTCAGTATATAATTCTGTAGATGTTGTAGAAATAATTTACATTATAAATATTGATTACACGGTAAGTATCTATTTTTGTATTCAACTGAATAGAGCACAAATAGTTCACATATCATAATGTTCTTCACAAATCCCTTTCAAGAAATCCCACTAAATTTAAATTACCTCTTAATACAAGAAATAATTTAACTTATAAATTATTATACTGCCTAGTTTTATACCAACTTGATATAAGCTAGTGTTATGTAAAGGGATGGAACCTCTATTGAGTAAATGCCTTCATAAGATCCCGCTGAAGATCATTTTTTTAAACTGTGTTCTATCTACTAAAGTTTAGTTAAGTGCCAGAAGAGGGCACCAGATCTTATTATAGATGGTTGTGAGCTACCATGTAGGTGCCAGCAAATGAACTCAGGACCTCTGGAAGAGCAGTCAGTGCTCTTAACCTCTGAGCCATCTCTCCAGCCCTGCATTTTCTTAATTAGTGATTGATAGGGAAGGGCCCAGTCCATTGAGGGTGGTGCCATCCCTGGGCTGACGGTCCTGGGCTCTAAAAAAGCAGACGGAGCAAGCCATGAGAAGCAAGCCAGCAAGCGGCACTCTCTGACTTCTGTTATCAGTTCCTGCTTTCAGGTCCCTGCCTTGTATGCGTTCTTGCCCTTAGTGCTTTTGATCATGAACTATTATATGGAACTGTGAGCAAGTTGCTTCTGGTCATAGTGCTTCATCACAGCAATTGTAACCCCAACTAAGACAATTATACACACTATGAAAATTATATAAATATCACATAATAAATATTGAACTTTTTAGATCTAGCCTTGAGTATGAAAGTTAAATGAGTTCTAGAAAGATGTATATATCTTTGTATACTTACCTGCATGTATTCTGAAAGTTCAAAATAAGCCCGTCCAATTTGGCACAATACCCAACCAGTACTGTAGTGGTGAGAAGGTAAGTGGCTCAAAATATTTATAGCTTCTTTGCAGTTGTATGAACACAAAGCTAAATAGCCTTTTCCCATTTCACGAAGAAGGCTCATCAAACCTTCTAGGAGAAAACAATACAATTATAAACAAAGGAGAAAAACATATAACTCTGGTTTTCTAAAAATGCTAACTATAAATTACCCCTTAAAACAACAACAACAAAAACAAAAAAATCCTCTCCAGTATCTGGGCGGGCAAGATTGTTTGGTGGTTAAAGGTTCTTGTCAGCAAGCCTGATGACCTGAATTTGATCCCTGGGACCCCACATGGTGTACAGAAAAAACTGATTCCTGTAAGCTGTCCTTTAACTTAAATACACACTTAGACACACTCCTCTCTCTAAATAAATAAAATAGAAAATAAAATTAAATTAAAAATTTAAGGGGGCTCAGCAGTTAAAAGCATTTGCACCCAGTTCCCAGTATCTACATCACAGCTTACAACTATCTATAATTCCAGTTTCACAGGATTCATGCCCTAATTTGGTTTCTGTGGGCATACACACATCCACACAAATTCAAATTTAAAAACATAAAAATAAACATTAAAACTTAACCACAATAAGTGTATAATAAACTAAAGTAGAAAACACAAGTACAGTAAGCATGTACAACAGACCTGCTGCTGCCTTTTGTAGGTTAAATGCCTGGATCTGAGGTGTAATTGTGGATATTTTTCCTTCTGAAATGATAGAAGAGTCCAATTTTGTAATTTCCAGACTATCATTTATGTTGGGTTGAGTTATTCCTCCTTTATTAGTTTTAGTTTTAGTTTTCCTGTTTGGGATTTTAGGTGGAAACTTCATTTTTAACTTTTTGCTATTCTCCTGTAAAAAGGAATAAAATTCCATGCTTGTTATTTTCAATAACACTTTCTACAAGTACTACACATAAAAGAAATGCATAATCCTCATTAGTCTTTTCATTTTCCCTAACAGCAATTTTATAAAAAAACAAGTGTTCTAAAACATTTTTTTGTTTGGTTGTTTTTTGTTTTGAGACAGGGTCTTATGTTGAGCTGGAACTTAATGCAATCCTCCTGTTCTACCCTCCCAAATCCTGGTATTACAGGAGTGAGCCAGCATGCCAGCATTTCATTTCAAATGTAACAGTAAGTTGCACAATAGTGACTTAGGTCAGTCTGCACTAAGGGCAGATCTTTTCTGAAAGTGCATCACAGTCTCACTTACTATTTAAAAACAAGAGAATGTAACACTAATTATATAAAAGCACTAACTACCATCAATGGCACAAAATGACTAACTGGGATGTGTCAAAGGTAAATTATTCATAATGTCAGTAGGCAGAGCAACACACAAAACATCTTCTCATCTTCTTTGCTTTTAACTTTGAAGATAGTAACATAACTAAAATTTTCACTCATATCACATAAGAACTACAGATCCCATGGATATTTCCCATTTTTATATGAATTCTTTTGCATGTGTGTGTGTGTGTGTCTGTGTGTGTATGTATACACACAGACACACACACACACACACACACAGCTTTGTGTAATTTTATCAAAGGCATTGTGCAACCAACATTTGATACAGAATTATTCTTCTAGAACAAAGAAAGCCACTTGTTTACATTTAAATAACTGTACCTTTCCTCCACCCTTATTTCCTAAAAAGCCATTGACATTTTTACCATTATTTGGTCATTTCAAGATTGACATATTTACCAACAAACAAGGAAGGAGAGTTGCCAAAATTATAGCTAGTTCTACAAATAAAAAATTATTTGGTTCGGCATGGTGTTGTGCCCCGATAACCCCAGCTCCCTAGAATCTAAATAAAGCAGGAGGATGGCCTTTTTCAGTCCAGCCTGAGTTACATCACCAGCCCTCTAAAACAAAATGAAAACAAAAGCCTTTACTGGAGATGGAGTCAGCAATGAACAGAAGGCTCAGCTCAGGAAGAATTACATAAATGTGACACTCAGAAATCTTTACCTTGGTTGTAGAACTGTCACTAGTGAAAAGGCGGGAACTTCTTCGAGGCAATGCGTTTGGGGGAGATGTGATAGTGGGGCTCAATACCTGAGGTGTTGTACTAAAAAAAAAAAAAAGGCATTTTAAACATTTACTATTTGGCTTAGACCATTAACTATTATTATCATCTCAATTGTTTTATTAAAGCATGTATTCATCATAAAGGTATTCTAAAATTGGTCTTTTGGTTAGTTTTTTGGTCTTTATGAAAACTCAGGATTTAAAAACTATTCACAGGCTAGAGGGATTGCTTCCTGATTAAGAGTACTTGATGTTTTCCTAGAAGACCAAGCTTTCTTCCTGGTGTGCATGCTCAGTGGCTCACAACTGCCAGCAAGCCTAGATCCAGGTCACGCTACAACCTCTTTTGGCGCAAGTGCACTTACATATACTAAATAGCATGCAAATCACATGCTAATGCACCTGCAAAGGCCAGAAGAGGGCATAAAATTCATCCAAGCTAGTGTTAAGAGTTGTAACAGTCCCCTGTGGTAACCAAACCCCAGTCCTCTACAAGAGCAGGTAACATTCTTTTTTATTATCTTTTTTCACAATCTGTTCATTATATATCCCAATTGAAGACCCTTCCCTCAACTCCCCTAGTCCTATGCTCCCTCCTTCTACCCTTCACCCCTTCTCGTAGTTCACAAAAAGGGGGAGCTCTCCGCTATTGTCATCTGCCCAGAGCTTGTTAAGTCTCATCAGGACTGCTTGGATCCTCTTCCTCCATGGCCTGGCAAGGCTGCATCATCACGGGTGAGTGCAGTCAACTGAGTTCATGATAGAGGCAGCGCCTGTATAATATCCCATCATTCAGAGATCCACATGGAAAATGAGCTGCCAATCAGCCACATCTGAGCAGGGGGTCTAGGTCCTCTCCATGCACGGTACATTAGTCTCTGCAGGACCCCTTGAGTTCAGATCTTTTAGTTTTGTTGGTGTCCTTGTTGATCTCCTTGTGGGGCTCCTGTCCCCTCCATGTCCCTTTAATCCCACCCCTCTCTTCCTCCATAAGACTCTCAAAGCAGATGCTGAGACTCAGGGTCAACTTTGGGCAGAGCACAGTGAACATTCTTAACCACTGAGCCATCTCTCCAGCTCCCTAATTCATTTTTAAAACTACAACAACCTTTACCTGGTAGGAGCAACTCTCATTTATATTACAAATAATAAATGTATCTTACCAACATGATTCCTTATAGAAAAGAATTTTGACAAGTGGAAAGGAATAATTTTATAGCATACAGGGAGAACAACTCTAAGAACACTGCTAAGATTGATTTAGACAGAAAACTGTACAAGGATAACACAATTCTCCATGGAGGAAGTAGAAATAGGACAGTTTTCAGGCTAGAATTTAGAAAAAAACTTTTATATATATTTTTGTTAAGGTTTGCTCATTCCAAAGACTCACTTGATACAAGTGGAGATTCCCCTAAAGTCTAAGAAAACAGAAAAAAGTATTTATTTCATATCATGATCAGTGTATGAATCTGAATCTTTAGTTTGTATTTAGTTACGTAGGAGTGTGACAATAAAAAGCACTTTGCATTTATGATTATGTGCTAATCATATTAACATTCTTTTTTAAAAAAATATTTTGTGTGTCTGAATGCTTCATTTGCATGTACATATTGCACTATGTACACATCTGGTGTCCACAGAGGTCAGAGAGGTATTGGTTGGTTCCTCTGGTACTCATCATGAGTGCTAGGAGTCAAACCTGGGTCCTCTGGAAGGCCAGCCAGTACACTGAGCCATCTCTCCAGCTCCAACATTAGAAAACAACAAACAAACAAACCCCAAAGTTCCCTGGTATAAACAGAAGCATTATTTTATATTTTTAAGATCTGTTAGGGGAGGTTGCTAAAGTGATGTCTCAGAAATAAAAGTCCAATTCAAGGGATCCAATGCCCTCTCCTGGCCTTCTCAGGCACCAGGCATGCATATAGCCACACTGACACACATGCAGGCAAAATCTCCATACACATAAAATAAAATGTTCTGAGAAAAATACCTTGAGAAATTCACAGAAATGAGTTAGAGGATCATTTATGAAGAAAATGATGGAGCTGGCCATTCTGGGAAGATCCTCCCTGTGGCTACGGCTGGGACTTTAAGACAGGTAACAAAATATCTATCCCTTTCCACCTGTTTAAAAGGTGCGTGTGCACGAGCCAGCGTGTGCACCCACATACACACCTCTGTGTGTTCTCACCTTACTCTCATAGATCAAGTCTCTCACTGAACCCAAAGCTCACTCTTTTACTGGCGGTCTGGCAGTGAGCTCTCTGGACCCTCCTGCCTTGACCTTAGTGCGGGGTCACAGGTGTGTCACCATGCCCAGGCTCTCGTGCTCTCCTAAGCGAGCACTCATGAGGAGACTGAGCCATCTCTCCAGTCACTACCTTCGTGATTGTTATTATTTATTTGGTTTTTCTTTTTTTAATTTAAATTTCTTTTTTATAATTTATTCACTTTTACATCCCAACTGTACCCACCTCCCTTGTATCCTCCAGTCCCATCCTCCCTCCCTCTTCCCCTCCCCTAGTCTTCAGAAATTCATTTGATTTTTTGAGACAGGGTTTCTCTGGGTAGTCCTGGCTGTCCCGGAACTCACTCTGTAGACCAGGCTGGCCTCGAACTCAGAGATCCGCCTGCCTCTGCCTCTGAGTACTGGGACTCTATTACTCACTGAACCAGAAGTCCACAGTTTTGGGATGGCTGGCAAGTACATATGGACACAGCCATCTTTTATGTGGGTGCTGGAAATCGATTTCAACTGCTGCTTCCCTACTCAGCAAAACATTTTTAAACATGATGACATCTAGGTACAGTGCTACCTTCTTGTTATTCTAGCTCCCTGAAGGCTGAGGTAAGTGAACTGCTTGAGTCTACTGAGGCTAGCCTAGAAAACAGAAAGACTTCAATCTCAAAAAACAAGATGAAACAGCTTTTTCCTGATATGCAGAAAGGGAAAAATTCCAAACTGGGACACATTACAGACTACAGGAGATGAAGGAAAATGCTACCAGACTGAAGTCTGACTCTTCTAAAAGAACACTAGCAATACCAGACATGTGGCTAAGCTGCTTTTCCTTTTTATAAAAGATGTAACTTTTTAAAGGTTGAACAACAGTGTACTATATAGGAGTTATAATATAATATGGATATAAAACATTGTTGTAAGAATCCCTAAAAGCATCAAAATGAACTGTTTTAGGGTTTCATATTATACAGAGTGCTCTATTGCCTGAAGGCACATTTCATACATTAAAATACACACCGTAAACCCCAAAGATGCCTCTAAAAAGAAAGCTACTAGGTAATGCTTGGTTGCTAAAACAGCAATGCTCAATTTGGCTTCTCAAAAGATATCAGTCTTAATTAATGCCTAGAAGCCCTGATTATGTTTATCTGGAAAATGGAGTCTTTGCGATGTAATCAAATTAAGATGAGATCATGAAGGTGGGTATGAATCCAGTATGATTTGTCTCTTTATAGGAGGGAAATCTAGGTACACAGACTTAGTCTTGTCAAGACTAAGGTAGACACTGACTTATGTTGTGACAATCTAAGGAAGGTCTAAGCAAGAGCTCCTCCTCTATAGTTTTTGGAGGAGAAATGCTCCTGAAAACACCCCAGTTTCAAACTTAAACGGTTTAAAACTAGGAAAGATTGTTAGCAACGTGGAATACAGAAAAAAGAAAAGAGAATAAATTTGTTGTTTTAAGAGATCCAGTTTGTGAAATAGATTGAGTAACACTTAGCCAAAATGCTTGAGATGAGAAGGACTTCACATTTTAGTTCTTTTGGGTCTTGTACTATGTGTATAAAAACCCTTAGTAGTTATGTATTCCTGATCCAAAAAGTTAACACCTGAATTGCTCCAAAATCCGAAGCCTTTTATATAATATTGACATTTAAGGTCTTTTAATCTAAAGAAGTGGTGTGCTCAGTCTGTACTTCATTACTTATAATGTAGAAAGTGAACCTTGCTAGCATTCAGGAGGCCAAGACAGATTTGCTGTCAGTTCAAAGCTAGTATGGGCTTCATTGTGACTTTCTGACCACTCAGGGTTATGTATTCAAAAAAGAAAAAGAAGAGGGCAGCAGCAGCCAATAACAACTGTCTGCCTTGCAAAATTAACCCCCCGCCCAGGGCACTGTCTGCAAGCTGCTCCTGACTAGGATCACCACCCAGCATCACAGGTATACTGATTCCTTTTAGATAGTCAAGACTGTGGCAGCTTTAAGGTTTCTTTATCTGAAGTTTAATTTTATGACCTGTGTACAGAAATAAATAATGGGTGAAAAGAGAATGAAGTCTGTATTTGCTATGTATGCTGGCACACACTTAATCCCAGAACTTGGGAGGCAGAAAGGTAGCCATATCTCAGCTTGTGCTCCAGGACAGCCAAAAACTACGTAATATAGACTCTGCCTCAAAAACAAAACAAGACAGCCATGGGAGTGCGTGCCTATAAAACCAGCACTAGAGAGGTAGAGGCAGGCCTGCGTTTGGGGCCGGTCTGGTCTCCAGAGTGAGTTCCAGGACAGTCAGGGCTACTACAGAAAAAACATGTCTTGAAAAACCAAAAATAAATAAAGACCAAACAAACAAACAAGTACAAAAGAAAGAAATTGACCTGCACTTGCTCTACAAAGGAGCATATACCTTACTTTGAAGAATAAATACCTTGTTTGTGGGCCAGAGCTTTGTGTTTGTGCGACAAGAACTGGAGTGACTTCTCGACTATTTCCACTCTGTGAGAAGACAGACTTTGTTCCAGTTTGGCCCATTCTGGCAACAGACTGTAAAACACAAAAAGTCTAAGGTTTGTGATTACAGATTGCACTGTAAGTGATAAAAGACACTATGATGCTCTCTTCTACACTTTCTAAATGAAAATAGCTCAGAATATATAATGTCACCTTAAAATAATCATCACTATCACTGCATTGTGTTAAAAAAGCTTAAGACAGCTACTGGTCTCAATATTTATGAATTAATTCGCTATAATTAAAGCAAGGTTTTATACTAATCCTTTTGCACTTAGTAAATAAAACAGTTAAATAGAAGTCTGAGGAGATTAAAAAAAAAAATTACCTGGTCCCTACCTAAATTCTAAAGATACTGCTCTTTTTGTATCACTGTTTCTTTCTAGTTTTTCAAATGTTTCATTTATTGATTTCTGCTTGCCTGGAAGGAGAATAAAAAAAAAAAAAAAAAAAATCTGTCCCTTCTGATGTAAATGTTCAACATGACAGAAACAATCTTAGTTTAGTTTATGGAAGTTTATTCAGCTAGATATTGAATTGAACTACATATGTGAAAAGACAACAGCTATGTGTCTGACCTAACTGGTAGGCTATGACAATGACATTCTTTCATTAAGTCTAAGAAAAAAGTATACAAAGTTGGATTCTCTCTGAAATTATCTTTATAGATTGGAATTTTAAATGTTTCTTTAACCAACACCCTAACTATATTTTACATAGAAAATACCTTTTTTGTAGGGGCTCCGGTGGATGGCACGTCAATTACAGAAGGTGTATTAGTGTAGTTTTGTAAATAGGATCCATCTCCAGGACTTGGGGTTTCTAATGGCAAAATCCCAAAACTGAGAAGAGGTTGAAATCAAGGTGTCAAAAAGTCATCAAGGCATATATAAAGCAGCAGTATACTTAAATTAGAAGGTCTAAAAGGAAGAGAATGGCAAATCAGTCTTAAGGGCAAAGAGGATCTGAGGGGCAGATTTAAAAATGATCTGTGAATGTAGAGTACGCCACCCACCAGAACTAAAGAAAAAAGGACAAGGAACTACAGTGAACAATAGCCACCGATCTTAGAAGTGGACTGGCTTTTTAAAATCTAAGAGCCACATGATGAAAATAAATTCCAGTTTGTGGAACATGGAGACAATGGCCCAGAGATTACTGGTAATTACTTAATAATTATCGATACACTTATCCACTATAGTTATCCTCTCTGAAGGTGCCCTAATCAATTTCCTGGTCATTCTGTTTTTAATAGGGTTCCTGACATTGAGACTCTATTCATGAGTCTATTCTTTCATGAATTTTGTTTGATAGTTCTGAACATGTATCCTTTGTGATGGGTTATTATATACATATATATTATACACTTTAAATAATTTTGACAACATATTTTAAAATAATAAATGTCAATTCTTCCTCCATGTTTCTGAAAAGAGAAGGATAATAATGCTATAACTAGTCAGGCACAGTGGCACACGCCTGTAATCCCAGGACTCAGGAGGCAGAGGCAGGTGGATCTCTAAAAGTTTGAGGCTAATCTGGTCTACAAAGTGAGTCCAGGACAGCCAAGGCTACACAGAGACACCCTGTCTCGGGGGGAGGGGAGGGGAAGCCATAACTATGCCATAAGTATACATTTGGAGGGTTTCACTGCTATCTGGAGCTGCACAGCCATAAAGATAGTATCTTTTAATACATATACCATTGAGAAATCCTGACAAAGTTTTAATATTTTTCCTCCACTTTCTTTTCTTTTGAGAAAGAACATCAATATCATAGCCCTCAAATCTCTAACATATAGCTAAGGCTAACCCTGAATTTCTGATCTTCCTGCTTCTACCTCCCAAGCACTACGATTACATCCATGTGAAATCTTGCCCAGGTTACAGAGAGCTGAGAGTCAAGCCCAGAGCTCCGTACATGATACGCAGGCACTCGACCAACAGAGCTACATTCTTAGCCCTTTGATATTTAATTCAAGTGTGTTATAGATGTGCTGTGTTTCTTTCACTTCATTTTCTGAAAACAGAGTGCCACTCTGACACTGATTTGGAAAAACGCTGTTTATATTAACTTACATTACTAATACTACGATTCACCAAAGATCATTTATATTAAGAAGACATTTTAAAAATATCTTGTGTAACTTACCTTGGGGTTAATGGGCTAAGAGCAGTTGGTCCTCCTAATAAACTTCGACCAGTTTTTGGTTTATTTTGAACCTGTTTAGATAATATAGAAGAACCCGTTCCGAGAGGGATGTTATCTGGTGAAATTACAGCTGAATCAATGTAAGACATGGAGGAATCTGTATTCAAGGAGTACTTTGAATTGGAAGATTCTAAGTTCAATCTGTTTAATTCCTGAAACAGAAATTTTCTATTATGTCATTTATGATATACTGTTTAGTTCCACTCATTCTTTTCGGGTTTTAGAACACTTTGAACATTAGAAGAAACACACTTACAATTGTATCCTGGGGTGTTTCTGTAAGAACTGTCTCAGGCTGTCTGTGAGATAAACTGTGATTAGATAGTAGAGTTGTACAAGTGTTGGGCAGACAGCTGCTAAAATTCTGTATAGATGTTAATTTAAATGTTTGGTCTGGATCTGGCTTTTCACCTGTGAAGACCAAAAGACAAAACAAAACAACACTTGCCTCTGAAGGATAATCTCTTTTCAAGGATGCATAATTAAGTGGAAATACAGCCTTAAGAGTTTCAAGTCTCCTGTCCATTTATGTTAATCAATCTTACCTCCCCAAAGCCTAATCATTAATTTGTTGTAGAAGTCAGCCCTTACATTTTGAAATATCCAAGTTAGTAAATATGGAAAATAAACTTTTAAATATCTTAAATCAGAGCCAGCAGGAAGGCTCAGTAGGTGAAGCTGCCTGCTGTGCAACCTGAAAACCTGAGTTCAGCCCCTGAGACACACATGATGGGCTGGAAGACCTGGCCCCTGAAAGCTGCATGTGTTATGTGGCACGTGTATGCCAATTCTCTTACACACACTTGCGCGGCACACACGCACAGACACAGAAATTCTGTTAATTGTTTTCTTCTACAGAAAGTGATTTCAGCTAGTGCTATATTTACAGTATTCATTCTGAAGGACACATTTTATATATATTAAGGTACACTGGTAAACATAAGAGAAATTAGTGAATTTAATCTTCGGGGTATAAAAAGACACATTATGACATGATTCTAAGGAAGGTCTGCTTTTTGAGACGGGGTCTCCTGCAAGCTAAGCTGTTCTCACAATGTAGCTGAAGCTGACAGTAAACTTAAGAGGGAGAGGCAGAGGCAGAGGCAGAGGCAGAGGCAGGCAGATCTCTTTAGTTGCGGGCCAGCCTGGTCTACAGCATGAGTCCAGGACAGGCTGCACAAAAGAAACCCTGTCTTGAAAATACTAACAAACAAACAAAACAGAGAGAAGAAGAGACAGAGAAAGGGGGAGAGAGAAGGAGGGAAAAGAGGAGGGAGGAAGAGAGAGGGAGAAGGGGAGAGACAGATAGAAAAAAGAAGTAAAGAGGAATCTTCACCTCACCCCCTTCACCTCCAAGAGCTTACCTATTTCACATAATGATTCAAAGGGAGACCAGAGAAAAGGATTTAAACTAAGGCTCTTTTGGTAACATTCTGATCCTTTGGCAAGCCGATCTGTCTTGCTGTGGAGAGAAACCATGGATTAAACAAACTGTAAACTCCAAAGCTTTTCTTATAATTTTTGATATAAAAATCAGGTAAAGTTTATATAAAGTCTTATAGTACCTTTTTTTTTTTTTGGGGGGGGGGACGACACAGGGCTTCTCTGTGTAGACCAGGCTGGCCTCGAACTCACAGAGATCCACCTGCCTCTGCCTCCCTAAGTGCTGGGATTATAGGGTTGTGCCACCATGCCTGGCTCTTACAGTATTCTTTGATGCTTCCTTAAATTCTTAATTTCTTTTGCTCTTTGAGATAGTATTATATAACTCCAACTAGCTGCAAACTCAATCCTCCTGCCTCAGATTCCTAACCAAGTGCTAACGTTACAAGGGTGCACCATCATGCTCAGTTCTCATTATATTCTTAGGTATTTAATTTCCTAGCAAATAAAAAACAAGACAAAGGGTGGTAAAACATACATGTATATGCCATTAATACCATCATTTCAGAGGCAGATAGGAGAATCTTTTTTTGAGTTCAAGGCCAGCCTGGTCTACTAGTGAATTCCAGACCTGCTAAGGGCTACATGGTGATTGACACAGGTACAGAAGACATAAAATGCTTCAACTGTATTTCTACTAGTTTATGTAACACTGCAGTGGTGGTTCTGAAAGCAACTTACATGCTTTGAATGCTAGTATTTAAATGGTTGGATTTTGTTTTTAGACAAAGAGATGATTCTTTTTTAAAAAATATTTATTCATTAATTATGTATACAGTATTCTATCTGCATGCACACCTGCACGCCAGAAGAGGGCACCAGATCTCACTACAGATGGTTGTGAGAACCATGCAGTTGCTGGGAATTGAACTCAGGATCTCTGGAAGAGCAGCCAGTGCTCTTAACTCCTGAGCCATCTTCTCCAGCCCCAAAATGATTCTTTTAATGAAGAGGGAGGCTGATTCCTCTTTCTAACTAGATATAGAAAGGATTAGATTTTGAATCTAGAAATGACTATATTTTGCTACCAAACCTCTTCTAGGTACCCAAGGCCTGTCACATTGTGCTGGGAAAGGGCTCTGCCACCGAGCCTTTTTATTCTTAACCAAATAAAACTAGTATTCTCTCACTAGAACAAAATATTGTCCAAATTTTATCACAATACCTTTTTGCAATAGCAAAAACTTTCATCTACTGTTTCTTCCTTCCCCATCACAAAACACGGTGGGGACTATGAGTTATTTCCTTTACTATTCCAAGGACCAAGAACCTATTGTGTTTAGCTATAATGGGAGAAGGACCTCAAACATTCTTTGAATGGATGACAAAAATAATCATAGTTGTACGGTAATACCCACCTCTTTTTTTTTTTTTTTTTTGGAGACACGGTTTCACTGTGTAGCCCTGGCTGACCTAAAACTTGCAGCCAAGGGTGGCCTCACACTCACAGAGATGCCCTGTCTCTGCCTCCCCAAGTGCTGAGATTATAGGCGTATGACATCGTCCCTAGCTTTGTTTTTTTAAGCAGTTCTTATTCTTTCTTGTCTTTTCTTTTTTTGAGAAAAGTAGGCTTTATTTACTCTCATAATGTATAAGAGATGGCACTTATTACATGCAAAAAAATCCTCACGAACAGTTTTGAATGTTTTCGATTATTCTATTTAACCTCAAAAGTATTTTTAAAAAATGAATGAAACCCATGTATTATTACATAAAGATAATTCTGAGTTCATGCATGTTACAAATTTTTATTACACACTTCAAAGGTTACTATATATTGAAAAAAATACTTAATCTGCAATACTGAAATCTGACTTCAAGCCTGTAAGGAGCAGCAGTGGTACTTAATAGTAAAGAAAACAAACTGTTCACTTTCTTCAGTGAATCACAGAGCTACTCTCTTCACAAGAGCTTGTTACAGGGTAAAATAAAATCAACATCTCTACTATTTAACAGATGTACCATGGGTTAGGAACTAGATACCAAAGGTTAGGAACTAGAAAGCCAACTTGCACCTGTAGACTCACCCACACAGGCTGTGCACAATACGGAGCACACGTACACAGCAGACTGTTCTGCTAGTCTGAGTCACTGCTCTTTTTTTTAAATTAACTTAATCTCTTTACAGCTTGATCCCAGGGCCCTCGCTCCTCTTCTCCTAGTCCCGCCCTCACGTAGCGCCCTTCTCCCATTCCCTCATCTCCTTTTTCTCAGAGAGGGGAAACCACCCAAGGGTACCAACCCACGCAGGCACTTCAAGTCACAGCAGGACTAAGCACAACGTCTCCCACCAGGGCCTGGCAAGGCAGTGCAGGTGGTGGGAAGGATCCAGTGGCAGCAACAGAGTTAGACAGCCCTTACTCCGGGGATCAGAGGTCTCACATGACGACCTGCTGCACACCTCCTACGTGTGTACTGGGCCTAGGTCCAGCGCATACACGCTCTTTGGTTGGTGGTTCAGTCTCTGTGAGCCCCCACGGGCCTGTTTTTGCTTTTTACTTTTTTTTGGCTTTTCAAGACAGGGTTTCTCTGTGTAGCCCTGGCTGTCCTCGAACTCACAGAGATCCACCTGCTTCTGCTTCTGCTTCCCAAGTGCTGGTGTACACCACCACCTGGCTTCTGATTCATTCTTACTTACCAATATACATGTCCCAACAAAGAAAGAGTAAAGCAAGCTGAATCACCAAACTCGGTGACAATATCATCATGGCTTTTTTGCTTATTAAACACTCCACCAGATAAGATTTGTTCCCCTTCTGCAAGCCTTTAAAATATAAAATATTTTAATGTCAATAAAAATAGCACTTCATGAAAACATCTTTCATTATCATTGTGAATCTAATGACAGATACAGTGAAAAGTTAGTGGTATTTTTAGAATAGCAGCATTCATATACTCAGACTCATCAGGAAGCTAAAGACTTATGACCTTAAATTTTCAGTCCTGCCTTTAAACTTAGAACTCATTAAAATTTAATTTTAGCAGCTGAAGAGATGGCTCAGTGGTTAAGAGCATTAACTGCTCTTCCAGAGGTCCTGGGTTCAATTTCTAGCAACCACATGGTGGCTCACAACCATCTTATACTGGCATCTGATGCTCTCTTCTGGCATGCAGGTGTACATACAGATAGAGCACTCAAATAAATAAATCTTTAAAAAGTATAAAAAATAAAATGAATGATTTAAAAAAATTAATTTCTATATGGACAGATCTAGTCTGAGCAGCATATTTATTATTCATGCTAAAAGAAACAGATGGTCATTTTATTTCAGGGGAATATGAATGACTTTACAAACAAGTGTGATTGCTCTTTATTTTGTAATTCCTTGAAATAGAAATGTGTGTGCAAAACCCAACATTTCTTAGTTCAAACTGTATGCTTACAACCCAGAATCATTTTAAGTATTTTTATAAAATTTAAATTGTATTTATTTTTTGTGTGTTTATGTGCGCTACAAGCATGTGTGTGAAGGTCAGTAACAACTTGTAGTAACAGGTGCTTTTCTCACCCAGGTGGATCCTGGGGGTCAGCTTGTTGCCAAAGACTCTTACATGCCAAGTCATCACACAAGTACCATTTTACAATGAAATGTGAGTATGGCTTTATGTATTTTTGTCAATTATATTTTTTTCATAAGAAAAAGTTATTGAAATGAAAAGAACTGTGTGATTTCACTACTTTAAGCACAACAGAGTTTGCAGTGGTTTCATGTTTGAAATGCCTGATTAAAACAACTACAATCATGTGGAAATATATACTTAAAAAAATTTTATATACTTAAAAAAATTATGTATATAGATGTTTTACCTGCATGTATGTTGTGTTACATGTTAATGTGTATGTGTGTGTATGTATATAGCTATGTGTTTGTGTATGAGAGGGAGAGAGAGATTGCTCTCACAGTTAAAAGTACTGGCTGTTCTTTTTAAGGACCTGGGTTTAGTTACTAGCATATACACCATCTGTAACTCCAGTTCCACACACACACACACACACATACATATATACACGCACATACAGAGATAGAGACAGAGCCCAGCTGGCCTAGAACTTGCTACATAGACCAGGCTAGCCTCAAACTCAAGAGCTCTACCTGCCTCTGCCTCCTGAGTGCTGGGATGAAAGATGTGCATTAGCATACCAGGCTTTTTAAAACTGTGAGTAAATAAACTTCATTAATAGGCCGAACAACAATTCTACATTAAAACAGATGAATTAAAAAAAAATATTAAGCCAGGTGCGGTGGCATATGCCTCTACTCCCAGCATTGTGGGTGGGAAAGGCAGGTGCATCTGTGAGTTTGAGGCCAGCCTGATCTACAGAGTGAGTTCCAGGACAGCCAAGGCTACATAAAGAAACCCTGTCTACAAAAACAAAACAAAATCACGTATGTGGGACTTCTATAAATATCTGTTTACACACTTTTACCAATATTTCATCTCCTATAGAACAGATTTTAATTTGTAGTTCCAGTTGTCACTGATTTGGAATATGGACAGATGACTTAGTTTACTATGGTGAAACTCTGGTGTGTCCCTTACTTCAAGTGGTAAGGATGAGCACTAGTTTTCAAATGATCTCAAAAAGAGACTATATATCACCTAGACACATTATTCTTGTGAACTGCTATGTTTCTAGGTTTACTTATATTGCCTAACAATGAAAGCAAGAGGAAATGAGACTGAGGATCATTTTGGAAGCCAATTAGTTACAACTTAAACTTCTCTCTCTCTGGTTTTTTGAGACAGAGTTTCTCTGTGTAGCCTTGGCTGCCCTGGACTCTGTAGCCCAGGCTGGCCTCGACCTTACGGAGATCTGCCTGCCTCTGCCTCCCCGAGAGCTGGGATTACAGGCATGTGCCACCACGCCAGGCTTTAAACCTCTCTTAAATTACATCATTTCAGGACTTAGAATGTAGCTCAGTTGGTTTTGTTTGGCAGTCCCAGAAACTGAAGCCAAAGCCACACACATGCTAGGCAAGTACTTTCTTACTGTGCCATAGCCTAGTGTAGGTAAAAGTGCTTGTCTAGTATGAAGCCCAGTGTTAACTCTCCAGCACACAAAAAGAACTGCTTGTTATTTATCATCATAATGAAATCTCTCTATGACCAAATTAATGCCATGAGCAATGGTGCAAACATTTCAACTCGAGAGAGGAAAGGAAGCCAAGAGTTTACCCTATTAGAAGAATTTCATCCAAAATTCAATGGGAGTGTAACAGAACTAGGTAAAGAAGACTTTAATACTTACTTGCTAAGGTCAACACAACATTTTGCAAGCAGGTATTTACACTGTGGGGTGGTACAACTGTGTCCTTTCAAGAGTCTATATGCTTTATATGCCTTTCCTGAGCGGTAGTAGCAGGTTGCCAGTAAAAACAAGGCTTCTTCTGAATGTACTAAGACATGAAAAGTAAAAAAGAAAGATACATTAGCTATGATTCAGTTTGTCAATAAATACGCTTAGCAACAAAAAGTTAAGCATGTCATTTAATTCAAAACAATTATTAATTCAAATCTGAACTATAGAGAAACCAAATCTTGATAGAAAAGGTAAGGCTGGTGGCCCACATTTGTAATCTCAGTGCTCAGTGGGTTGAAAAAAAAAAAAAAAGTATATTTTCTGAGATAAAAAACAAAACAGTCAGGCATGGTGGCTCATGTCCATAATCCCAGAACTTGGGAGACTAAGGAAGGACAGCCAAGAGTTTAAAGCCAGCTTAGGATGCAGAATGAGAACTTTCCCCCAAACGAAACAAAGTAACTGGGAGACAGATAACTCAAGTCAGTAAAGTGCTTGCCTGGAAGTACCAGGATCCGAGTTCAATTCTTAGACCCTATGAAAAAGCTGGCATTGGCTTATAATAATCCAGCACTGAGGAAGTAGAGGGAGGAGAATTCTGAGGCTCTGTGGCTAGACAACCTAGCCTACCTGACAAGTTTTACTCCAGTGACAAACTGTCTCAAATAAACAAACAAACAAACAAACAAATAAATAAATAGTAATGATGATAAAATTAAAAGGTAAAAGAAAAAGCACCCAGGGTTGGACCATGGCTTCAGCCACACCCAAACACAAACAGACAAGACAGAAAGGAGGTGGAGAGATGGCTGAGCAATTAAGACAACATGGTGTTCTTCTAGACAGACAGACATTTGGGAAGGCTCACAACTCTAACTCTAGGGGACTTTGGTCTCTGAAGGAAGACACTATTTCAACAGGTTCACTTACCTGCAGTAGAAGTTTTGGCGTCTTTAAAAACTCAGCTATGTAAATATGTTTTTGTTTCAATCCTAGGTGTGGGAGATGGGGCTGATTCAGATTGTCCACAGCAGCAGGTTGTGTGCTGCTATTTGGGCTCTGAGAGATGCCTTTGCTAGCTGCACATAGTTTAACTCTGAGAGGGAATAAACCCCAGAGGCAAAAGAGAGAGGGGCATTCTGAGAAACAAGGATGCTGCTCCTTGTGCTGTTGCTGGTTCATCCTTCTGCTCTGTCTGCTGAACTGCTCGATAACCTGACGACCCTGAACAGTCAGAAGTAGAAAGAGACCTATGGCCCCTCTCCTAACTCACCTCTTTCTCTCCTACCTAGTGTGTGTGTGGGGGGTGGGCTGAAAGGTATTAGTTTGAATAAGGGTTGGAAGGGAAGTAGAGGCATAAAGAACCCAAATAAAGTAGATAAAAAATATACATAACTTACATATATACACATAATTAAAAAATGAAAATAAAAATTGAAGACAAAAAGTATGAAAAAGAACCTTGTTAGTCATAAAAAGTGATGGAATGCCCTATATTTTGTTCATTTCTGGTTCTATACAAATGAACAGATCACAAACCTTCTGCATACAGTCGTTCTGCGAGGAAAACTGCATCTCGGTAAGCATAGTGGTTGAGTGCTTGCCATATAGCAGCCTGTAAGTGCAGATGAAAAGGCTCGTAAATACACACAAGTTTCAAAGTAGCTTCTGGCAGTCCTGAATATAATATTCAAGTTATTATCTGTAATTTATTTATCTGTATTTTTCTTACTTTTAAAAAATGTTTTGTATGTGCATGTGTAGATAGCTGGTAGACGTGTGTGGCATGGTGCAGAAATGACATCAAAAGAGAACCTCTCTCCTAACACGGTAGGGATCAAACTCAGGTCACTGGGCTTGGCAGCAAGTTTCTTAACTTGCTGAGGCATCTCACCAGCTCTGGTTATTTTTCTTTCTTTCTATCTATCTATCTATCTATCTATCTATCTATCTATCTATCTATCT